ACAACTGAACTGTATCAATGGTTTAGCAACAAGTGGAGGAATCCACCATGGGGGGAGGGGTATGGGAGGGGTGGGGGGGATCCCCAGCGCCTATAAAACTGTACTACATAATATAATGTAAGCAACAATAAAAAAAAAAAATAGCACAAGAGTCACACTCTTGTAAAAGATGTGTGCTCAGCCTACTTCATGACACGATTGGCTAACCCTGGAGGAGAAGGGATGCCTCCAGCTAATAACAGCCATTTCTGAAATGAACAGATTGGGAAACTGTTGAAAATTTGAGACGGGCTGATCTAGGTTCATGCTCAGTGGCCAGGGCTTCTTGTCTACCACACATTGCCTCCCAGCTCTGATGGTTGGGTCAGCTGGAACTTCCAGGTGAGACTTTGGGGCGATGGGATCCCTCAGCTTTCCTAAGGTCCCAGAATCCTTTACTCCCCTACCAAATTATACAGTGTGACACTTGGTTACATTTGCATGTTCTGAAAGAAACAATGGCATTTAGAAATAATTCTCAAAAAGCATGATCAGGTAGGGGAGGGAAGTTGCACAAGTTGGGAGTGGTGCATGGTGTTGTTTAGGATGAATTTGAAGAGGGCAAGGAGGAAATGAGACTTGGGGTGTTGAGAGAGAATGGTGCTTGTCAAGGCAGAAAGGTACAAAACAGCCATAGACTACAAGGACCTGTATGTCACTGTAATGTGGACACAGAAAACAGAGCTCTAGGGAAAGTAGTCCTAGCTGAAGATGAAGATTGTAGGCACTAGAGAACTAAAGATTTCAGTGAAGGCTCCTTGGTTGTGTTTCTGGTCCGTTTCAGGACGGATTTGTAATGCTGCAGATGGAGACTCTGTTGCCAGGTGGGGCGTGGGGCAGCCGTATGAACAGTCTAAAGAGTGCTAGTCGGAATCAGAGTCAGTACACATGGAATATCAAGGTGAACAAGAAGAAGGTGACTAGCAAGACCTCAACACAAAGACCAGAGCGTAGGTTGCCAGCTGTTTGTGGAAGTGAGGGACATTGTTGTAGAGGGCATTATTGGACAAAGGACAAATCTAGGCAGACCAAGACTGTGTGGGGCCTGTTGGAGGAATCCTGACTGAACAGGGTCGGGCATGGTAGATGCAAAGATTCCGGGAGAGCCATCGGCCCTGGTGAATGCCACACTCCTTGGAATGCCACACTCTTCTCTGGGTTCTGTTTCATAGCTGTGTCCCTCGGGGGTTGGATGTGACAATCTGCAAGAAGCGCTTCCAGTTTTAATTCAAATATCTCTTCTCTGCCATTGTAAATTAACACCCAGACAATTTACTTTGGAGGAAATTCTTGCCTGTAGAATAAAGAGGAAAGTATGCTTGGGACCCAGAGTGGAATGGAAATGTTTTATCAGGTATGTGCGCCATCTAATTGGAAACACCAACCTTCTGATAATGAAGGAAGGACAGAAGGAGTTTGAAGACATCCAATAGAATGACTAAACTACTTACACAAAACATATGTCATGGTTCCCGCCGTACGTTATATGCTGTGGATGAGTCAGTTTGAAAGGACTGCGCTCACGACATACCTCCCACCTCAGTGTCAGAAGATTCTCTTTCCACTTCAGGGCAGAAGAAAGGACTGATACAGGTAGAATTGGTCTTCTCCAAAACTAATAAGAATGTAGCATTAACAGGTCTGAGGAAAAGCTCCTGTAAGGACCACCCACCTTGCAAAATGGGGCTGATCATGTGACAGGATCCTGGGGTGACAGAGATAAAGCAGCGACACACACGAAGATAAAGCAGTGCAAGATACGGGATGAAACGGATAGGGGCCTTTAAAGATGGCGTGACTGCAGCCTGGTGCTTGTTGTTCAGGGGAGATCTTACCACTCGGGCCTTCAGAGGAAAGTCAGTCTGCAGAGGCCCGTTGGTTCGGTGAAGACAGACGCGACATGGAGCCAGGCTCCAAGGCGAGAGCTTGCAGCCAGAGGGACCAGAGCAGCAGAGCCAGCCTAGTGGTGAGGCAGAGAGAACAGAGGCCAGAGTAAACCATGATGGAACAAGGGACTGTACATCAGCCATGAATTTCACACTGTGCCCAGCAGGAAGCTGCTGAGTTGTCACACCCACTGGGGCCAACCAGCCCTTGTCTCTGGCACGAGGCTTCTGTGATAAGCTCCTCTTTGCCTTGCTTGTCCCTGCTGTTTGGTCCTCTCGGCCTCTCTACTGCTCAATGGCTTGCTATTGCTCCACGTCTCCATATAAAGCATGCAGGAGGCTAACTGCCAGAGCATAGGGGTCGGTAGGTCCTAGTTTAAGTAAGAGGCAGCGTCCTGATTTCATTGACATGAAGACCAGACTTGGGAAAAATCAAGATTTGTAAGACATTCATTTGTTTACTATCAGTAAAACACCCTTTTGGTTTGGGAAAATATGACGAGCAGGATGACGAGTGGTTTTGTTAATTGTCCTCTAGCTCAGTCCATTCCAACAGACACCATCCTTGGCTTCCAGGAATGCTCGTTGTTGGTGGAAAAGCTGGGACACTGCAGCACACAGCTAGTAGTAAATGAGGCCGCAGCTCCCGTGAGGAGCCCCCGTGGCTGTTCAGAAGGAAAAGGACAGTGAAAAATGACAAGATGCTGTCTTTCAAACATTCTTGTTTTCACTTTATTTTTGACTTTTATTAGTATAAAGAGAACAGTTTCATGCATTCTGTAGGCTCAGTTCATGAAGACAACCCCATCTTTCTCACCGCCTGTTCCTCCATTCTTTGCCCCACCCCCCTTCCTTCATAGTTTTGCTAATAAGAAATGTTAATCCACTGCATAATTTATTCCAAATCATAACTTTGAACAAGTTCCCAGTGAAGACCACAGTTCACAAGAGTCTAAACGAATGCTAAAATAACAATCAAATCTCCAAGTGACTATTTCATTTCTATAGATTTATTCTCTATCTTTACTGCCATACTCCCCAAAAGGAAGACTGTACATCAATGTTAGAATATGAGGAAAAGACTGATGAGAATTTTTTAAAAATCATGTTGCTCAAAAACATACAGAAATGAATTATTGAGATACTATTTTCTAAGATTTATTTATGTATTTGCAAGACATAGTGACACAGAGAGAGAGAGAGCTCTTCCATCCACTAATTTACTCCCCAAATGGTCACACTGACCAGCACCGGGCCAAGCCAAAACTGGGAGCCTGGAACTCTATCCAGGTCTGCCATGTAGGTGGCAGGGACCCAGGCAGTTGGTCCAACTTTTGCTTTTCTGGGTGCATTAGCAGGAAACTGGATCAGAAGTAGAGCAGGTGGGACTTGAACTAATTCTCACATGGAAAGCTGGCACTGCAGGCAGTGGCTCAGTTGGCTACACCACAACATCAGTTCCTTTATTCAAATAAAGGCAGGGGATGGGGGGGAAGGGGCGGAAACGATAATGTTAATGTCATTAGTAATGTAAGGAAATGAGCACTCTTAAACCCTGTCAAATGCAACCTTTATGGGGGAGCAACTGAGTACTACATGCCAACATTTTTTCTATTTTTACTGTTTGACCGAGTCGCATTTAACCTTAGGCCTATCCTCAGTAACAAGACAAGACCACACTGATTAAGATGTTTAATAAAAACATGAAAGCTGTAAATAAATTAAATGGGATCTGGCTAAGTATTTATGATAAAATGCAAGAGCAACACACTGTAAGATAACTGAAAATGATAATACAGTTTCATTCTTTAATGACACAAAAAGGTGTGTGATGCAGTATTATGTGAAAAAATGTGTTGCAGCATTGTGGGTATAGTATAAATGTCTATTACAATGGTGTCTTATTTCCACATTTGTAAATATAGTTTAGAAAGCAGCTCACTAACATATTCACAGTGATTTGAGAGAAGCATGCTTTTGCATTCCTGATTGTTTTCATGATCAGTAAAATAGAGCTGCAAAAAGCACATCATAGAAACTCAAGGAAGCTAAAAACACCCAAAAAATGTAAGATCTTTACAGTAGAGGTGACCATTATTCTTTTTGTTGTTGTTGTTGTTAGGATTTACTTATTTTTATTGGAAAGTAAGATAAACAGAGAGGAGGAGAGACAGAGAGGAAGATCTTCCGTCAGATGATTCACTCTCCAAGCAGCTGCAATGGCCAGAACTGAGCCGATCAGAAGCCAGAAGCCAGGAACTTCTTCCAGGTCTCCCACGCAGGTGCAGGCCACAATCAGAGAATTAGATGGGAAGCAGGGCTGCCAAGATTATAACTGGTGCCCCTGTGAGATCCTGGCGCATGCAAGGCGAGAACTTTAGCCACTAGGTTACCACGCTGGGCCCGACCATTATTCTTAATAGCTCCAAAGTCATATTTAATAAGGAAAGAATCAAATCCTGTATGTATCATTCTATCTCTCAGGCTCAGTGGGTTATATCCTACATCGCATTTGAAGCAGAAATGTTTGCCACCCAAAATAGATAAGGTTATAAAACCCATCAAAAGTGATAATCTTCAGAAGATTTCAAGAACCCAAGAAAGTAAGATCAAGAGAGATGTATAAAGCTTGTTTAGTGTTCTGGGGGGAGAAAGAATCAAATGACTGCAAAAATACCAGCTCCAAAAATACCAAAAAGCTTCAAGTAGGGAAAATAGCATGAAAGTTGGCACAGGGATGTCAAAAACCCAGTGTCAAAGAGGTTTTGAAAAATTGGTCGTGCGTCACCCATCATACATATCCAAGATCACTGTGAAGGAGGCACATTTCCAAGAGCAATGGAAAGTGTGTTACTGTTCCAGAATCTCTTCTCAGTCATTGGTTGGTAACAGGCCGTTAATGGGAGCGTGTTCTCACTCGTTTTATCACAGATGTTAGAATTCTGCCCTCAGAAAGGGAAGCGAGGGGCAGCGGGAGGGATAGCCAGCAGCCAGTTCATTGTTAATTCCTAAGATGTGTTGTATAATTGTCTTTTCTTCTCACCTCCAGAAAAAAGGCACACAGAGGAGCTACAGCGATGGCCAAGTTGACGGAATCCATGAGTGAGTAATCTGTCATTTCCTGACTATTTTGATTTGATGAGAAAATATCGAATTGTACAGGATCACACCTGCTTGTGGTTGCCTGCTTTGTCTTCTGCTCTTGTAATATGCAAGGTCTGTGTGGATGTTATGTTACGCGTTATGCAAAATTCATCTTGCTTGAGGTCAAATGTTCTACTCAAGCTGTTTCTCAAAGTTTGGAGCTGAAGAACAGAAATTAATCTTGTTTATAGCGGGGCAGTGTATGTGGAACCCATAGTCGTCTCCATTTGAACTTTTGGGAAATTAGTGTATGTCAGGTTTTCTGTGCACATGTCCCAGCGACCAAACATTCTGAAGAGAGAAATGAATGATGAACCATTGTTGAAACTTCCAGATGTTGTCAGGAAACTTCAAACCCAACTATTAAAAAATGAGTACTTGAGATGTAAGGAGCTTGTGATGATTTATGTTCTGAATCAGTGTTATAATGCGCTAAGCTCTTAAGCTACATAAACAGGATGCACAATGCATTCTTAATAGGAAAGGGGATTTAATTATAATAAATCCTCCTACAAATGAGAAATGCAATTTCCTCTGTTGACGTTTGAATATTAAAGACAGTATAGATAAGAAAGAAGCAGACGATGCGGATGGCTTCCTTCAACGACCTGCGTTGCTCCTGGTGATAGATTTCATGTGTAAACTTGTGGGAGGCTTACAAACACATCTGCATTACCACCAAGGCTGTGAGCACCTTATTAAATTTAGTCTGCAGAATTAACCATTCATCATTCCAACATTTAACTCCATGCTTGCATCCTCATTCCATCGTTTCTCAAATCAGGAGACTGCTGAATTCAAGCAGTTCTCCGTGACACCACCAATGAGTCTTCATCCTCAGTACTCTCCTTCTCCGTGTTCCATACATCACATCCCCTTAATGTCTAAACCCAAAACTGTGTGATTTCCCGTCAGTCCCGACTGTATGCTAAATGATGGCTCAAAAGGAACAGTTAAAACAAAGAGCCTTCAGGACTCAGAATCCTCTCTTCTGCACTTATTTCTGGACTGTCTCCCACCATGCTGTCTGCTCTATCTTTCTTTTCTACCTCTAGTCTTGTGACTGAAACAGATTAAAAGGATTTACTGCTTGGTTTAAGAAACCCAAAACTGCTTTTCCATAAATGAAAACATCTCAAAGCCGTGGGAAGTGCTGTCCTGAAACCTCAGGTCACATAGTGAGGTTGCCAATGACCTGTTAAAGGACAGAAGCCGTGTCATCCACACACAAAGCAAGGTCGTGGTCAGCATCCACTGATGGGTGTTCCACAGAAATGCACACATTTCATCCTAACTTGTGCCCAGGGCCAACAGCACAAATGCTCTCACAGATCCCTGAGTGACAAAAAGAACAGCAGCATAAAGACTTGCATAATACTCAATAAGTTGAGTCCTAAGCGTAGGAGTAAATCGAGCCAGATGGTGTTGTACAACACCTGTGAGACCAAGCCATCCTTCTGTTAGAAACTGATCTTCCGGTTGAGTGAATATTATTTTTTTTAGCCCATCCAACTGTAAAACATTGCAGGTATTGCAATGGGCACTGTTTCTGACAAAGCTATTTTTCCTGCCTCTTAGATGCATGCGTGTGGGAGCTCCTCCTCTGATAACTGAATTGTTTGTTCTATTTTGGATTTTGCTCTGCAATAATGTTAGCGTCTTTGATTTATAAATCCATTGTGTTAAAAGAGAGGCCAGTGTCAGAACTAAATTCAAAATCTTTGTGTAGATAAAAGGGTATAGCTATTCTTCTAAGTTGTTTTGTGTTTATAGGAAAAGAAAGTCCATAGATAGATTCAATTCATAAATAAATATAAAATTTGAGAACAGAACTTTGGATCACACCATACATAGCAGTACATCAACCCTTTCAAGGGGTCAGAGTGTGGAGAATGCTGTACATCTTGTCAGTGCTATGAAATACTACTCGTGGGGTCCAGCTTATATTTCATTAAAATTAATTCATTAAAATAGTTCATTAAAATTAAATTCATGGATAATGAATTATACGACTACATGAGCCATTCTATTTAGAAAAAATCCTCAAGGAAATACATGTACAATTATATAAATAGAACTGATGAATTGGGCTGAGCAAAATATTAACAGAGAATTACCACACAATGGATAGAAACATCAAATCCGTGGCCAGTGGAGCCAAAGGACATAAACAGAAGCATGAAAGCCCAGGACACCATGCTCTGAGTAGGCTTCTAGAGCAGTCAGCACTTGGCTTGGTAAGCTGCCAAGCAGAAGCCATCTGCTTACCAGAACAACTCTATGTTTAACTGGAGCTGGATAGCAGCTCTCCTCCTTTCACTGTCCATATCCAAGTGCTGTGGACGGTCAAAGCAATCCCCTGTAGAGCATCCGGGGCCTCTTCTTGACCTCCTAGGATGAGGATGAGGGGTATTTGTGTCCATTGTGAGACATTCATCAACCACCTCGAACAAAGCAACCAACAGCTATCTAACTGCTCAATTAAAAATGACTATATTGGATACATTAAAGACACTCCAGACAGAATACCTTACAAGTTTATGGAAATGCAATTAAAAGATTGTTTTGGTGCAAATAATTTTGGAACTCTACATGCACTAGGGGTCTTTCCCAAGCTCAAGAAGATGCAGCTTATAAACAAGCTGCATTGATTTCCAGAGTTTTCACACCAATTCCTTGTTGAAACTGCCCATTGTTGAAATGAGGAAGAGTGTGATAAGGAAAGAAAAATTACAGAAAAAGCAGGGGAAAAACAGAGGTGGAAGAAGCCAAAGTACTTCTAACAAAAATTACTAGGGATAAAAAATACACATATATGATTATGTATGTGTGAATATTTATATACATAATTGTATATGTGTGTATGTATATGCATATGTATATTGTTTTCATACATATGAAAAAGGCTCCAAGAATGCTTCAGCGGGAGGAGAATCACAAGGGCCAGGGGCAAGCAGACGAAAAAGAGACCGCATCACAAATAGAGAAAGATTCCACCAAGTCTGAAGATGAGCAAACAACATGCTTGGCGTTAACCCCCGTGGACTTGCAACCTTTCAAAGGCCATTGATTTCTTGGCACTGCCCTTTGAAATGTTAATCTCTATTTGCAACTTCAACGTGGATATTTTCATACTGTGGCCACTAGATACCTTGTTCCAATTGGGGCAGCCAGAAAATCCACCCTGGAGGAAAGTCGTTCTGTGTTTGCCAGATGGAAACCATCACTCCCCTGTCTGACAGAAACCAAACTGAGAGCCTGGCCCCGGAGGAGTTCCCAGGCCTGTCCACAGACATCTTTCGGCTCTGTCCTGAGCCCTGGGATCTAAGTCAGGCTGTGACAAGCTGGAGCCACCCGCAGCCATGCAAACAGCGTGGGGGTTCTGGAACCATGGCCTCCTCCCCAGAATACCTTTGCAGATTGTTCTTACATGAATGTCTTAGGTGCTGCTGTGTCACCCCCACACTCACCCCAGAGCTCCTGGAAGCACGCCTTTTAGAATCTAGCAAATCTCAGCACACAGTTCCATTAAGGCTCGATATTGCAGGTGGGTTCTCCCGCCCTGGGCATGGTAACTGGGTTGCGAATTAGCGCCATCACTCTCTGCAGGCGACTGGTTCCTCTCGTGGCCCCGTTGTGTTCTGCTCATGTCTTGGACTTCACACTTTGCCTACTTCCCTGTCTCAGTCACAGGAGCGCTAAGTCTCACTGCATCAGTAAGTGGGGGCTGTCATGCTGCAAATACTGTAGCCACTGGACTGGCTTTTCCTCTTTCCACCCTGCTGGCCTCTGGAGCACACTGGCCCCAGACTTCAGGCAGCCTCAGCTTCGCTGAAGTCACTGCGCCCTCTGTAGCCTCCCTCACCAGCTGTTGTACCCCAGCTGTTCCCTCCTGCACAGTACATGCTGGCGTCTCAGTGAGACACACCTGCATGGGAAAGAGCAGCCGCCCCCAGTCTCACCTGTAAATAGGTGGCAGAGCTGCAGCTCAGGCCTGCAAGCACACAGGGTGAATCCCATGCAGCCAGGGAGAGTGCGTGGTTCCTTTCCCTCCCCACATCAAGGCCCCTTCTCTGAGGCCTGTGCTGGTTGTGGTTGCTGCTTTAAAACACAGGGAATCCTTCCCACGTTCCAAGACGCAGCTCAGACTTTACCCAGATGTGAAATTTTGGTGTCAAGTGAAATGAGGAGCGAGAACCAATTACAATCATTGCACATTAAATTAGCTCTATTAAAGCAAAGTGCTTTTTAATCATTTATTCGCTCTTGTATGGAGTGGCTATTATAACTCCAGTATTGTGGAGGGGTAGAAAGAGGAAGGCAAGTCCCAGCCTGCAGCACTGTGCAGTATTTGGGGGCTGCTGGGGAGAGGGAAGAAAGAGCTAAAGCTGGGAAACACGCTCCTGCGGCAGCAGCTGAGCAGTCATGCCGTGTGTAGCCTGTCCCCACAGGCAAGCAGGGTTCTGTGCCAAGCCAGTGATGGTAACATTAATGCCAGGCAGGGACACAGCCCAGGGAAGACAGGGATGAGAAAGAGCAAAGCATGGGTCACTTATGAGGGGCTACTAGGAAGGGTCCAGTCCTAAATGGACAACGAGCAGCTTGGATTTTCTTTGGGGTTTGAGGCAGCACTCCATTTTTGAGCAGCCCCATCACCCTTATCCGTCAGGGGCCGATCACAGGCTGGGGAAGGGAAGCAGCCAGCGGCCAGGAATGCAGATGAGCCGGAGACTGTGGGGCCGCATGATGGAGGACCTGAAATGCTACACGTTAAATGACCGGTAGGATTTGGTGGAGGAGGAAGGAGGATCTGGAGATGGAAACTGCATATACAGTGAGCTTAGAGGAGGGCCTGGCCACAGCTTCCAGCTGCCTGCTGCTGTAAACACAGGTGGGAGGAGGAGTGATTCGGGAGCCCCACAGTGGTCTCAGACTTGAATGTACTGAGTTCAGCAATG